ATCTTGTTTTTCAAAAATTGCCTGTGCTATATTTGGCCTCTATCTCTTGGATATAAATTGTAGAATCTGCTTATCAAATTTCATTGAAAAACTTTGTTGCAATTTTCTTTAGCGTTATATTTGGTCCATAGATTAAGTAGGATTCTCCTCATCCTTGACACTGTATATTTCTTTGTTTATTTATGCATAAATAAAATTTTGTCATTTTCTCCACATAAAATATCTTTGCATAATTCATTGTGATGAAATTTTCTTTGTCTTATTTTTAAAGTCTGTATTATTGTTGTAAACCAGTCTTACTGGCTTTAGAATGTGGAGGATATTTCACAACTTGGCCAAGCTTATCCATCCTGCTAATTTATTTACAGGTTTTCTTGCATTTTCTGTACTGACAATGACGTTGTGTACTATCAAGGACAATCTTACCTCTTTCCTTCCAGAGTTTATTTCTTTCAATTTTTTTTTCTTGACTTAATGTACTGGTTGGGATGTCTGCAGGGTATTAATTAGCTACCTTAATAGTAGGAATTCTTGTCTTGAAACCGAATTTAAGGGAATGTTTCAAAAGCTTTAACATGAGATGTGATGTGTGCCATGGGTTTTTGCTAAAAATCCTTTTCTCAGGCCATCAGCAGAGTGGCTGTAATCCTACAAGTGTAAAACAGCAGGGTGATTGGTATAAGCTACAGCCCTTATGTTACAGCTGATCCCGTGGCTGCAATTGAGATTCAACATCATGCTCTCCTGCAACCTATTCTAGAGTTCATTCATACTCAGTGTTTAAGCAGGTCTAAGTTGCTTGCTTGGTCAGTGACCCAGATCTTCATCCCTGAGAGGTCTGAACCTTGGCTGATTTTTTATTTTAACACCTGTTGCACCATGATTGCAGAAATTTCCCATTTAATAATGTGACCACCCCCAGCACAGAGGCATGTGAGCCACTTAGTGAATTCCTCGGTGCCCAGGCATGCTCCTCCCTGTACCTACTGTGCGTCATTAGTCCTGGATCTCTACTCTATCAGGGTCACTATCTCTCACTCTCAGCTTTACCATGATCCTTTCTTTGCCTGCTTGTCCTCTGGGATTTTTGAGGCACCCATATGACCATGGCTCATATGGTTGCCATGTCTTTAAATTCAAAGAGCCCTGGCTGCATCTTCTAGTAGATGCCTTCCTCTCCCTGAGAGCCCAGAGGTTCACAAACAGATTTAAGGTTGTAGAAAAAGGATGCATTTATTTAGCAAACACATCACAGACAGCAATGGTGACAGGGCTTGGCTTGATCTTCCTTGCTTGTGTTGGTTTCAGGCCCCAGTCATCTAGTTACTGGAGGTGGAATCTTCCAACTGTTTCTTCAGCCTTGATACTGTTTGGACACATGTTAGTCAGCTTTCTGCCACTGAGAAAATCAACTAGTAACATATGGTTTATTTTGGCTCACTGCCACAGAAGGTTCAGTCTGTGATTGGCTGGCTGTGTTGCTTTGGGCCTATGGGGATCCAGGATATCATGATGGGAGCACATGCCAGGGCAAAACTGCTGGTCTCATGGCGGCCACTAAGCAAGAGACCAAAGGGCTGGGATTCCAAATTCCCCTTCAAGGGCACACCCAATGACGTCACTTCCTCCCACCAGCCCACCTCCCAAAGGGTCCATCTCCCACGTACAGCACAGGCTGGCAACCAAGCCTTCAACGCATGGCCCTTGGGGGCCATTTAAGAACCAAACATTAACAGAGCAGTTATTTCCGCCTGGTCTCAGAAGATGAAGTGCTGCCACCTGGCCACTCTCAAATCCCATTGGTCCTGGAGAGCCTTTGATGTTGAGGTGAGGGGCTGAGGTCCCATCAGTATCTCCTAGGACTGACTCTAACTCATGGAGTACAGGGGTTGCCTAGCTTCTCAGTGAGCCCGGCAGGCCTCACACCTGTGTGCTCTGTACACAGATGTGAAGGGACTGCCCTTGGGACCTTCCAGGGAATCCATTCAAATGATAAGTTCTCCAGTCTCACTTAACTCTGTCCTAACAGTCTTCCCTCTCAGAGCCTTCTGACTTCTGCCTCATTGCTCTACTAAGATAATTCCACCATCACCACCTCATTTATTGGAGGCTGTTGTCACATCCGGGCTTGAAGGCAGCTGTTCCAGTCACATCTTCCAGACCAGTCTTAGATAATCTTGCCAACACCATATGGATGTCATAGGACATCAAGAAATTCTCCCTTAACCCAGCTGTATTTTCTCTTTCCTATACTTAAACCCTAAAGATTCTTTCTCGTGTTTATTATCTGCTCTCTGGGTTCCCACCGCATGCATTAGTAGATCCTAAAGGAGAGCATATCCTCTTTGCTGCCACAGCAGAGCCTTCCTCAGGCTGCAGTGTAACCAGTTATGGGCAGTGTGGTGGTGACCAACGTAGACAAGCTTTATCACATGATGCACCTGCTTCAAGTAAGTCCTTGCCGGTCTCCAGTTGAGAGGAGACCATTCTCTAGCAAGAGGGAGACTTTTGCTTTTCTCAGTATGAAGAATTTTAGGAGTCCAGATGTTCAAGATTCTTGGGTGTTTCCATGTCTAGATCTCAGAGGCCCATTTTATCCTTCCCTGTCCCTGGTTTAGACAGAAGAGATCTGTCAGAGACTTCTGGAGCTCTGCTTGTTAAATAACAAGTACTGAACCTGATTTTCGACATGGTCTACAATGTGATTGCAGCCAACTAGAGCCAGCCGACCTCACAATTTTTATAATTCTCATTCCCTCATAATGGTCAAGTGCAGAAACCTATAGCTTACACTTCCAGCAAGTCTTCTGGTAGTGATGCTGGTCCCTGGTAGCCTCTAATTCCAGAGTCTTGCTTTGATCATCTGCTTGCTATAGAAAATCTCAACATTTCCTAACTTGGGTTTTCCCAGAGAGCAGGGCTTTGGCTGCAGGTTGCATTTAGCAAGAGGTGGTCGAGAACTCATGCCACAAAGCTGGGGTGAGAAGAGGAGGCCATGGGAATAGAAATGTTTGCTGTCAAGTAATTACTGTTGTGGACAACTGGAATTCAATCACCACAGCCTTTTACATACCTGATGGAATGCAGTTCATACTGTGCACCCAGGGGTGGAAAGATGGAGCCTTCACCCGAAAACTCCCATGTGGTGAAATGGTGCTGATTCTGTATTTTTTTTTCAGATTTAATTGAGTTTATTGGTACATTTTAGGGATACAGTACAGTTACATTCATTGTTGGGATCTTGTACCTCTACATAACAGGTCTTGATTCTCATTTTTTCCCCTTGTCCCTGCCCTCCCTTCACACCCTCCTCCCCTCCCCATCTACAAACACTTTATTTCCGTCTTTTCATTATCTCACACTTTTTTCTTTTCCCTTATTGCCCTTCCACTACCTATCCCACCTTTCCTATACCTTTAGCTCCTTTCTTCCCTTTTCTAAATATCAGTAATCTTATTAGGATCTTATGTATTATTGCAGATTATTCACACCAGGGAAACTATTCGGTACTGATTCTGTATTTGTAACAACCTGAAAGTGAGCACCTCCTTAAATTGTGTATTTTAGGTCTCTTACCTACTTTGTCCTTAACCTGGCTATGAATATATAGAGTTCAATGTTTATAAATTAGACCCTACTGTTTTTTTGTTTTTTTTTTCTTTTTTGGTCTATAAAGCAATAAATACAGTACAAAAACTAACATCCACTAAAAGTTAAGATTTAGGTATGTTTTCTGCTACCGAAAGAGGAAACAGATATTTTGTTCAGGGATTCAAGTGACAGACCCTAAATCAAAGAGGACTTGAGCTAAGGTTTCTGAACAGCGGAGAGGTACAATATAGGAAATTTATTTTCTTCGTAGCTGGGATGGCTGGAAGAGTTGAGGTGGATCCATTAGATTTTGCTGCATCACTGGCAGTAGATGACAGCCTCTTCCACAGGCTACTGGGCAGCTCTATTTAATGAGAAGCAGAACAAAGACATCGAGGGTGCTGTGGTGTTTGTGGAAATGGGATTCTGCACACATGGGCTGTAATGACTGTTGAGGGAGAGTTTGAGCTCCGCCACCAGCCTTGTATTCCTCCTTGGGCTGCAAGTATGGGAGGTGTGACAACAGCCACATCCCCTCTGCGGCCGTGTGACTGCATCCTACAGAGCAAGACCATGTTATAAACTCAAGTGGTTCAATGTGAGGCCAGGCAACTGCATTTCTGCTTCCTTCTCTTTTGACAGCTTGGCTTTTATTGCTTCTTTGTTGGTAGATTTTCATTAATCCTGCACACTTCCTCCCCTTTTTCCAACCACATTTGTCTTTTTATGTCGCTTTAAAAATTTTTTCCTCTTTTTGTGTTTTCCTTTAGCTGTGCTTAGATGCTTGTTGAGGGGAACATCAGAAAAGTCATGGATGCAAGGAAGGGTAAAACTACTCCTCTGCTCCGCAGGGTCTGGGGGAGGCAGTATTTCGGAGGAGCTTGAAATAAGTAACGGACAGAGCATAAGGCGTGAGTCACAGGGGCACCCTACAGGGGCAGTCACCCGTCACTGGGCAGTGCTGCTTGGCCAGGGAGCTGCAGGCCCAGCTGACAAAGACACGCTGGATAGGCATCAAAAGTAGCAATGAGTCACGTCTCAGGAATCCAGGGATTGATTTTTCATTTTTATTGCTTATGCATTTTGATGTTTCAGGTTTTTTCCTAGCCCTTGAAGGCAAGGACAGATAGTAGGGAAGTGCAATGAAAACCCAAATATGATCTGCATGAGTTAGATGCTATTTGACTGTATCAGGAGGAAGACCCATAGCTTCTACCTCCCATCACTACCTGAGGCCAGATGTGCTCCTCTGTAATAAGCATCAGGTTGACAATTCAGTGTGTGAACTGCACGATGTTTAAAAGTATTTAACTGTATACTTTTGCATTTCTGCCTAATAAATCCCTTTGTACCTCTTGAAAAATATTTAATAGCCCCAATTAAATTGCAGTGCCTTCTACGCCCCAGCCATGCAGCAACAGCGCATGCAGCAGCATCTTCCCATCCGGGGCAGCTCCATGGGCCAGATGGCCGCTCAGATGGGACAGCTCGGCCAAGTCGGGCAGCCTGGGCTGCGGCAGATAGTACCACAGTACCCAGCAGGCCCTGCAGCAGCGGAGATGAAGCAGCAGATCGGGTCCCCAGGCCAGCCAAACCCCATGAGCCCCCAGCAGCACGTGCTCTCAGGACAGCCTCAGGCCTCACATCTCCCTGGCCAGCAGATCGTCACATCCCTTAGTAACCAGGTGCGGTCTCCAGCCCCCGTGCAGTGTTGGAGGCCCCAATCCCAGCCTCCACATTCCAGCCCATCTCCACGGATGGAGCTCCAGCCTTCACCACACCATGTCTCGCCCCAGACTGGCTCCCCCCACCCCAGACTCACGGTCACCGCGGCCAGCTCCATAGATCAGGGACATCTGGGGAACCCTGAACAGAGTGCGATGCTCCCCCAGCTGAACTCCCCAAACCGGAGCGCACTGTCCAGAGAACTGTCCCTGGTAGGTGACACCACGGGAGATGCACTAACAAAGTTTGTGGACAGTGTGTAGCATTATGAGAAAGCATCACTTTTTCCTCCCATGCTGTTGGACCTTTTGTACTGAAAATCCAGGCATCTGGGCTCTTTTTATTCCTGGATGGAACTGTGACTTCCGAGGCATGGAAGGGTGGATTGATGTTTAAAGAAACAATACAAAGAATATATTTTTTTTTGTTAAAAATTGGTTGATTTAATTATCTGGTCTCTCTTTTTGCTGTTGCTTTTTGTTTTTTGCGGGGGAGGTTTTCATTTTTTTGTTTGCTTTTGTTTTGGCGGGAGGGGGACTTGTTTGGATTTTTTGGTCATCATTGCTGGTGACTCATGCCTTTTTTAACGGGAAAACAAGTTCACTATATTCATATTTTTATTTGTATTTTGAAGACTTTAAACACCTATGTTTAAAAGTGAGAAGAAAAATAGTATTCAGAAACTGGTTGTGAAATAACTCATCTTGTAATGTATCCCGATAACTGTCTGACGGTGCAGGAAGATTTCTTTTCTATAGTGAACTCTATGGGTCTCCAAGTATTACCCCTGGATGACAGGAGTTGACTCCGGCATGCACACACGTACACACCCACACACATCTATCTATACACGCTGGCTTAAGCCAAACTCTTATCTTGCAGATGTGGAAATCGTTGCTTTGTTTCTCTGATAAAACTGGTTTTAGGCAAAAATAGGGATGATCGCTCTCTTAGACCTTCCTAATGTTAATAGAGAAAAAGCATTCTTTTCTTTCTTCTATGCGAAACTTGAAATGAGGAAAAGCAATTCTAGTGTAAATTGTGCAAGTGCCGTAATTACTACAAATAAGAAAATTTAAGAAGATTCAATCACTGTATAGAATGGTAAAGTACCAACTCATTTCTTGTGTCCGATTATTAAATAAACTGTGTGCCACAGACAAAAGAATTGCAGTGCCTTAAGAGTTTGGGCTATGGATTGGTGAAATAAATTTTGACATCTCTCTGAATTATCTGAGATATTGGTACCTGTGACTCTGGGGTTATTCTGAGTCAGAAATGTAGAAGGCCAGTTAACAAATACTTTGGGCATTGGAGGCCATTCATTCTCTTGAAACTTTTCTCTTTGCTGATATAGGACAGCAGAAGTAGTCACAGACAATAGATAAACAAACAGGGTGGCTATGTTCAGTGACATTTCATCTGTGAAAACAAGAGGCTGGCTGGACTGACTCTCAAGCTGTACTCCTTTTGTCTGGCTCAGTGCTTCTACGTCACTTATTATTTTTTGGAGAACAGAGAATTTTCGGGTTTCGTGACAAACATCTCCAAGGGTTCCACGAAAGGAAACAGTCTTTCTGAATTGATATCTCACTGCCACATTCTGCCCCTGCTGCACCTCCACACCAGGCCCAGGCTGTTCAGACAAGGAGACCAGGGCTTCAGACCAGCTGAAACCACTTTTATGTGTTTGAAAGCCATTGGCACAAATTACAGCAATGATGCCTTCCTAAGCCAGAGCAGCGCGTACTATGTCATTACATAACCCTGGGCTTCCTCAGGCCTGGCCAGTTTAGGAGTAACTGTAACAGTAATGTATAGTTATAAGTAGAATGACTCAGCTGGGCATGCACGCCTGTAGTCTCTGTAAGCGCTTGGGAGGCTGAGGCAGGAGGACTGCCATGAGTTCCAGACCGGTGAGTTCAAGACCAGCTAATGTTACATAGTAAGCCCTTGTCTCAGGAAAAGAAAAAAAGAAAGAAAGAAAGAAAGAAAGAAAGAAAGAAAGAAAGAGAGAGAGAGAGAGAGAAAGAAAGAAAGAAAGAAAGAAAGAAAGAAAGAAAGAAAGAAAGAAAGAAAGAAAGAAAGAAAGAAAGAACGGCCATCATTCCTACCACCAATGCTAGATTCTGTCTCCCAACGTGTTCCACAAGGGTTTATCAGACAGGGACACAACACAGAGCATTCACCCACATGAGGAATATACTGGTACAATCTTCTATTTTCCTCTTCCCGTGGTATGGCTACTCTGGAGCCAGCCCTGATGGTCTTTCCATGATTCCTGCCCCAACCTCTGGGCCAGTGCCCTCTGCCCTGGGCTGTCCTGGTCTGTGGAATCCATGTAGGCTGTGTATTATATTAGGCCATCCATCTGCACACTGGACTGCACTGCTTTTCATGAGTGTTAGTGCTCATTAGATGCTCAGTGCCGGGGTGATGAGTACCCCAGTGATGCTGGGTCTGGTGGGCATCAAATCATGGTACTGAGTAACCCTATTGCCTCATAGTTGGAAGCAAGGATGTGGGTTCTGCCTGCCTGGGCTGGGCCTGGCCCTTGCACTCCTAGTCTGCACTCCTGGGCAGCTTCCTCGGGTCTGTGCCTCGGGTTCACTTGTGAGATGGGGAATAGTAATTCTCCCACTGCAGGAGAGAGAATCAGGTGAATCAATCACTGTGGCACTGAGAATGGCACCTGGCTCATAAGAATCACTGCACTGATGCTGTTCGCTATCACCGTCGTCACTGTCCCTGCAGCCCTCGGGGAGGAACTCCAGTGCTGTGACCTTTGGGATTCCCACAATTGTAGTATGTCTTGGGGTTGTAATGTACATGTGCCATCTTCCATAACCTCCCCAATGTGCAGAAAGCCAGAGGCTCTGCTTTTACTCAGACCTGTTTTAGGCCTTGTAAAGACTTTAAGACATGCTTGTATATTTGTGTCCACCTTACAGATGCTGCTGCTGCTAAATTTAACAAACTTGCTTCAAGTTGTACACTTAGAAAGTGACAGAACTTGTATCCAAACTCAAATCCATCGGTCTCAGGTTACTTGGCCACTGGGGGAAACGGCACAATTTATTCCAGTGACAGGGGACGGATCCTCTTCTCCATACCTTGTCTCACTTTGTCATGTGTGTGCAAAACTCCACTGCTGTGGCCAATGTTTCTCACATATTTTGTGAGCTGTTTCCTTGTGCATCTTTTTTGAGGGCTTAGCCAAAGGCCAAAAGGATGGTGTGGTCAGGATGGTGGGTCATGGTGCTTCCTTTGCACAACTTAAGGCTTGGGAGATGCCCAGGGACCCCATTTGAGTAACACTTGGAAAGGAAGAGGGGAGGGTGTATCCGTTAGCTTTCTGCCACTATGACAAAACGACTGAGGAACAAACTTAAAAATGGAAAGGTTTATTTTGGCTCAAGATTCAGGGTTTTCAGTCCATAGTTACCTGGCTCCATTGCTTTTAGGTCCATGACAAGAGAGAAATATCCTGGTGAAAAGGCATAGCAGAAGAAAAGCTACCTACCTCACAGTGGTCAAGAGGCAGAATGAGAGAGGCCTAGAGAGGAAGGGGCTGGGGGAAAAGACAGGACGCAGCCCCCACAGACTTACCTCCTCAACCTTCCCGCCTCAGTTAAGCCCCACCTCCTCAGCTCCATCACCTCCCAGTAGTACCAGAAAGCATGGACACTTCCACGGATTAATCCATTGGGAAATTAGAGCCCTTGTGATCCAGTCTGGTTTCAAGAGCTCCATCTCTGAGCACTGTGGTGAACTGGGACCAAGCCCCCAGCTCATGAGCCATGGGGACATTTCCTACGTGAATCATAACAGAGTGAAAGGCCCATTTGGATTCTGGCTACACTGCTGTTTCTTCTGGTGGTGTTGACTTCACTTGCTTGGCATCTGGAGATGCATAGAGGCCCACACACGCCACACCCGAGCCTCGATCTAGGGAATTTTCATAGGGTAGCCTGGCTTGCCACCTGTCCTCAGGTCCCAGCAGGGACTACGCATCAGTGATCAGCAGGGCTGAGTGCCACAGCTGCTCCACTTGTGGGTGACTGTGATAGCAAGACTGCTTTCTTCTCAGAAATGAATTTCTAGGTCAGATTCGCAGCACACCCAGGTGTTGGGCTGATTATTGCTTCAGATGGAGGCAGTGTGTGCAGACTCACCTTGCTGGCTGGCCTGCCCCTCCCAGCCTCCGCAGACTTCTGCCTGCCTCCCAGGACTAATGGAACCCAGGCTTGTGCTTTTGTTATGTAACGCCCTGCATTTCTTCCAGAATTTCCTTCCGCAGACTTCTGCCTGCCTCCCAGGACTAATGGAACCCAGGCTTGTGCTTTTGTTATGTAACGTCCTGCATTTATGGATTTCTTTTCTTTTCTCTTTTTTTTCTCTTAGAAAAAAATAAAATAAGGAAATAAGTGTGAAGGTGGTTTAAAATATAAAAGTGCTTTGCAAACCTAAGCTCCCTTCTGAACACCATCTCTGCTGTGGCTCTTGAGGGGAGAGAGCAGGGCATTCGTTCAGTATCTGTGTAGGCACTAGGCATTTCAGGAAGCTTTCTTTTTGTTTTGGGGTTTTGAAGAATAAAGGCAATTTTTAATCTTTGTTCTGGAGCTGAGACAATTGAGTTTCAAAGATTATGTAACTTGCCTGAAGCCACACGGTTACTTGGTAGAGAATCTGAATTTGAACCCACCTGCTGGAATCTTTGTCCTCTGCCCTTTGGCTTCCTCCGCTTGCTTCTCAACCAGAGTGCTCACTTACGCGGAGAAGCCGGGGAGGACGACCCAGTGAGCGGGATGGGTAGTGGACACTGCGATCTGAACACACTGCTGCCTTGGTTACAAAGGAACTAGTTCCAGAGCCCAGACCTCACTGAGTGCTCTCCCCAGTGGAGTCTGCTAGAGCCTCTGTTTCCTCCACAGCCCTCGACTCTGAAGTTAGTCTTTCTGGGAAATACCTGGCTTATTTTCTCAATACCCGGGTTTTGGGACAGAAGTTTGAATAAGTCAGTTGATCTCCTGCCAGTATTAGAGTCCTCTAGTTCAATGCGCATCTGTGCAAAAGATCCATTTCCCTCGGAGGGAGTGAAGAGGAAGCTGGAAGCGCATTCCAGATGCAGAGCGGGGGAAGTCACTTTTGCTTTCATGTGGTGCGAATGGGCCCTCTCCCTCCAGCCAGCTGAGCTGAGCCCTTTGGTGTCCTCGGCCTGGAGGTGAGCTAAGGTCTGGCCTTTTTGTGCGGTCTTCTCGGA